ATAGGGCCGTATAGGGTTTAGTGTCTATGGTTCAGGGTCAGGGTTTGGAGAGTAGGGTTGTTCAGTGGGTTGAGCATAGCAATGACATTCCCTTGGCAATCCCTATACACTCTACGAAAGACCCTCCCGAAACCGTTCAACTCTATAGCCCTAAAGCCCATAACCCTACAGGCCCTAGACTCGAAACCCTCGGACCCATAAGGCTATGTAACCCTGACAGTCAGAAGCCCTGCTGTTCTAAGCCGAATCGCACAACTATACGAGACCAATTCCCCGCTAGAGGTGGCTCCGGCACCTTCGTGAGCAAGCCGCAGGTCACCCCTAGGCACCAGATTTTTTTGTTCTCTACTGCTTTTCACGGATTATGAGTACGTGTGTGTCTGTCTGCACAGATATAGGCGTGTTTTCTCGTGCGCTTGTCGGTTCATGTTTCAACTACTTTTCCCATGTGACCGCAAGTGCCCATCTCTCTTTTGGACTGGGAGTATCGTCTGAAGGCATCGAGCAGTCCTGGGTCGAGAAATAGAAACGTTCCGAAGTTCGCATGTTCTGAGGATGTACCGTTCAGGGTTTATCATGGTTTATATTGGGCCGTTCCAGCTAAATGTGTTTGAGAGCTTGACAGCTCTATGGGCTTTTAAGCCTAAACACCCTTTAGCTGTAAGACTTTCAACCCAAAGACCCGCAAAAGCCTAGGCCTAAGCCCCTAAACGCCCTAAAGCAAACCCTCTTGTGCGACCCTCGGCTTCGTGGCTTTTCTCTCTCTTTCTGCTTACGAGGTTTCCAGCCCTGGGTTTCGTTTCCAAAATCCTTTGCCTGAGCTCTTCGTCGACTCTTCGACCCCGAGAGGCTCTAGGCATGATCTAAACCCTGTTGGAAAGACCCTAAACCCCTAAACCCAAAACCCCAAAGAATTAGGGTCCGTCGAGCCCTGTCCCAAGCGCTCCAACCCTCAACATCCTAAGCCTTCACCCTCCGCCTGAAGCCCAAAAGACTCCCCGGCAGGTTGAGCCCGCGCTCCACGAGCCAGGCAGCACCTTGGCACGGAACAGGGTTTAGGGTTAAGGGTTTAGGAACATAAGTTGGGACTGAAGGATCAAATCCACCAGCAAAGGCGCAGGCAGCAGTTGACCCCTCAAGATCCAAGACGTCAACTTACGTAGACCTGAACAACCTAAACCCTAAGCCTCAACCAACCAGACCCCCCAAAAAATATTAAAGTCCTATTAAAATACTGTAAACCCTAAAGCTCTCAAGCCCACAGCCGAGGGTATCAACTTGTCTTTGGTGCCCTTCGAAGGGCCCTTTGCGGCCAGAAATCCCAACCTCCAGCCTTTGCTTATCCACTTGTTCCATCTCTTTGCCGTATAGGGTTCAGGGTTTAGGGTTTAGCTGCCAGCGTATTCGGGACACATTGTATCCAAATGCCTTAATTCCTCGAGCCGTGTTCCGACGTTTTGGAGTTCGCTGTAGGGCGGTCCCGCAGACCCGAAGTGAGGACACCGAAGCTGAAACGCGACACCTCCAATCAGAAAGTCTATGCCACACGCAACCTACAACACCCTTGGAAAAGCCCCGTAGACTCCCCCCAAGCCGTAATGCTTGCAAGCTGCATGTGAGGATCTGGCCAAGTTGCTCGGCGGCACCCGGCTGTCCGTCCAGCTCGAAGCGCAGGGGGCAGGACTTTTTGGTTCGGGCTTTGAGGGTTTGGGGCTTAGGGTTCTGGGTGGAGGGCTTCGTGGCTTGAACCCTGTGCTCCCGAAGCCTTCTTGCATCTAACATTCCAAAAAGCCCGGGGCGGATCTCAGGGATGGTGCTCAAGGGCGACCTGCTCGTTCCGAGATCGCCGAGATCGCGGAGGCTCACGGCTTTTTCGGCTAGCCTTTAAAACAAAAACCTGTGTTGGCTCAGTGCAGTTTCGGGCATAGGCTGGAAAGGGTTAGGGTTTGTTTAGAGACTACAACAAGTTTCTCAACATCCCAGGTAAAGAATTCAATGTCGATGCATCTGCCCTGCTGAGGTGGGTACTTTGCCTAAAGCAACAGAGGAGTGGCCTCCCGACCTCAGAAACGTCGGGCTGGGGTGGAAATCATTTGTTTGAGAGTTGCGGGGAGTGGGGTTTAAGGGTTGAGGGCTTGGGGATGAGGGTTGCTCGAGAGGGTCGGAAGGGTTTAGGGTGGGCCTTTGTGTTTGATTACGGGTTTGGACAGTGGTTTGGGATTGGAGAGTTCCAAGAGTTCAAAGTTGGGGAGGCTGGGGTTCCTTGTGAGTTCAGAATCGAGGTGGTTTGGTTCAGGACCTTCTGATGTTGAAGGGAAAAAGGAATTGCCAATGAGGGCAGAACGATGTGCTCTGGATCGAGACACCTGAAGTCTGCGCCCAAATCTGACCCCAAGAAGCATTGCTGCAAGTCGCGCGGAGCCGGACAAGCCCTTGCATTGCCCCCACTCGATACAGGACGGGACAGGAATGAAACTCTTGAGCCTGATCTGAAAAATCCTAAACACCCGGAAAACCCCAATATCGGAAAGAGCATTCAAGAGCCTCTACAGCAAGCCCCACGAGGCTCTCGTCCCTTCCCAACTGGGTCTGGCGTGGGGTGATCCTGGTGCTGTGCATGTTGTGGGCCACGAATTTTGCGGTCATCAAGGACGGGGCTTCGAGGCACAGGCTCCGAGGCGTTTGGGTTCTTGGTATTTAGGGTCTTTTTAGGGCCAGCGGCTTTTTGGGTGTAGGGTTTTGGGTTTTGAGTTTAGGTTTAGGGTTTAGGGTTTAGGGAGCGTAGAGGAAAGGGTTTCTTCCTCCAGTTGTGGCGGGTTCCACGGTCCATGGGTCCAGGTCTGGTTTTGTTGCGGTCTCTGGTCGGGGGCATCTGTCTTCAGGGTTTCAAACCCAGCGGACAGCGGCTCAGGGTTATGAACCCTGAACTCGAAACCCTGAATCCTAAACCGGTTCAGCCCGTTACCTAAAGTCCTATGAGGCCAAGCCTGAAAGTCTCTCTTTGATTGCCGATGTAGAGTCCCCTGATTAAGAAACCGGGCCTGCCTACTTATCGGCGATATGCGTTGAAACCGAAACCCTTAAGCTCTAAAACCCTGAAGCCCCATCACGCGAAACCCTAAACCCTAAACTCCCGCAAAGCCTGAACCCCAAAACCCCAAAACCTTGAGCCATTCATCTCAGAGCCCGAATCCTTACTTGGTGCGGGTTTGGAGGATTTTTAATTTTTTGGTGGCTGTTGAGGCTCCAAGGCTCCAAGGTTTGGTTGTTGAGGAAGGCTCCAAGGCTTGGTTGTTGAGGCCCAAAGCTCCAAGACTCCAGGCTCATGTCACCTCCAACCTGATGCCGCCATAGGCTCCAGGATCCAAGGCTCCCAGGTTCCAATGGCCCCACGGCTTTACCTGGTGCAGCTGACGAGCAGAGGCGGGCCCGGCGGGGTCTGACGTTGCATTGCAGGAATTTCAAGATTGTCTGACAATTACAGAATTACAGTGACTGCCTGTTCCTTAGCATGGAACTCAGAACAACGACTGCTGCAGCAATTCCTGGCTCTGAGTGGCACCCTGGCACCTCGGCGCCACGGCTCTCCCCGCCTGACCGCCAGACCTGGCATCAGCATGAGGTGGGGGTGTCGGCCGTGGCGGTCAAGGAGACCGTCGAGCTCCCCCCCGTAATGCTCTCACTGGTGAAGCCCCAGATCCTGCGCTTCAAAGCCACTGAGATCCAATCCCACTACCTGTCATGCTGCTGAATTTAAGACAAGAATCTCAGCCCAGCTATGTTGGTGTCGGTGTGTAACTTATCAATTTGACTAAGCCGTAATCAGATGGTTTAAGCTAGTATCTACATCTGCGATGGTTGCTGCAGTATCTCGGAAAACTCGGTGCAGATGACGGGAATGATGATGGCAAGGCTGTGGAATGGAACACTACCTTCGCCAAGGCCTGTGGGACTTGGTGCCGTCGGAGTCCAGCGGATGTTCTCATCCAGGTCAGGGCCAATTTGGAGGAGCTTCCAAGCGTGCTGCCGGGCAGCAAGCCCTTGAGAAAACTGCTGAGCGATCTCAAGTGCTCCCTAATTGTCACGAACCCGTGTCAAGCCTGGCGCGTCCTGAAGACCCTTGCACCATCAGGGGCATCATCAATCCAGTCCAGTTGAAGTAGTTTTGCAAAACTTATCAAACGACGACTAATGCTCCAAGGAATTTTCTGTTCCTGGAGAAGAACAGTGCTTCAGCCGCACTTTTTGCAACCAAGATTCAAGGTTAAATCGAGCATCATGCCACACTGAGGTAGCTGGCTCGGCGATGAAACGCCGACTTTGATTCCCCAGTTGAGTGACTGGTTTGGCTCCTAGGTTCCCAGGCTCCCAAGCTCCCAGGTGCCCGGGCTCCCAGGTTCCACGAATCAACATTGTCTTTCATTTAACGTAAGGGCCAGGGAGTCTGGGGATGATGCTGACTAGCATGTGCAAGGTCACATGCACCTGCGGCATATTGAGCCCGCCACAACATGACTGCAGATGTACAGATGCGACGGTGCATGGCCAGCCTTAAAAAAATTTTCTCCTAAGCAGAGCTGAGCTTGCGGCTCCCGAGCCGAACTCTTCGACATCAGCAACTCCGGTGAGCGTGAGGTCGGGACTCACAGGGCTGGGGTTTAGGGTTTAGTTAGGGTTTAGAGTTTGAAGGGTAAATGGTTCAGGGCCCCTGGTTTATGATCCAACATGTCCCCATCCCAGCAGGCTCTCCAGGCCCATAGGCTCATCCTCATCATCGGTTCATCAGGTTTACTCATGGGCCCCAACATCATCTGCAACATCAACATGTATTTTCATCTTCACCCCCAGGCCCAGATCCCTTAAAATTTTTCAGGAAGGTCGAGGCGCACACCAAGCTTACTAAACCCTAAACCCTAACCCGTACGAACACTAAACCCTAAAGACTAAACCATAACCCTTATGAGCACTAAACTCCAAGTCCTGTCCCAGAAAGCTCGCAGGAGATCACGGCTCAGCCGGGCGTCACCACGCAGATGCCGCAGCCTCAGGGGGTTGTCGGGGTTTAGCAGGGTAAAGGCTTAGGGCGTAGGGAGTTTAGGGCTTAGGGTTTAGGGTTTGAAGCTGAGGGCTTGGAGGTGTTTTTTGGTGGACGGGGAGGGTCTCGGAATGTTCGAAGGGTTTCAAGCGCAAGGTTTTGTTGACAGTGTCTCCAGCTTAGCGGTTTCAGGTTGTCGATGTTACTGGGTTTCGACTCGAGAGACTGTCTCTGTGTTTTGAACCGTTCTGTTCCTGATCCCCCAAACAAGAGTGGTACTATAAGGGCCTTGATAATTACCTATACTATTCTGGTGGTTCCTTATTCTAAATATAGAGGATACAATACCCCCAAAACCCTTGTTAGCTATTAAGGCTAGTATACGTTAACCTCCAATTCGAGCCTTGGAGCGGCCGTGCCGGAGGTACGCCGTCTCGCGCTTCACAGTAGCTGCCGGGCTACTGTCGCCCTGGAGCCCTGACGAGACTCAAGATTTGGGGGATGGTATAATAAGGGGATGTCCGGGTCCAGGATAGGGTTCAGGCTCCGGGTGTGAGGGGCGTTAATTGGAGTTTGGGATCAGAGAGTTTCAAGCTGGTTGAGGGTTTTTTGTTGCAATGCTGCTGGGTTTGGCCCGTCTACAGTCTCCGGCTTTTTCCGGTAGGGCTCGAGAAGGAGGCCCGAAGGGCAAGCGTCTCGACGGAGGCTTCTAGGCGCGAGTGTCGGAGGGTCTGGTTTGTGTGTTCTGAGCTCTTGAACCTGGCGTCGTTGTCACTGAGTCCTGGTTGGATACAATTTTGCACTTTTTGTTATAATAACACCCTAATAAGGCTTAACAATGATCATTTTTAATATGACCCCAACAGGGAACCAGGTCAGAGGGCTGGTGAATACCCAAATCCAAAACCCCGAAACCCTCAAATCCGCTTTTCTCCGGCCGAGGATCTCCCAAGCCTCTTCGCCGAAAGTGCTTGCTCGGGCTGTGGAGTGCGGGGCATGGATCGCCTTCGGCTACATCGGCCAGGCCCTGGGAGCCGGTTTTGGGGTTAGGGTTTAGGGCTGAGGGTTTAGGGTTTGATGGTGACCTGCTTGTTGATCCTGATTGCGGCCCTTCTTCTTGCCTTCGCCTCTGGTTGCAAGGATGCCCTAAGCCCGAACACCCACGCCCAATTCTCCTAGCGTCCCGGGGAGCAAGTGCATCTGCTCGGGCGGATTCAGCGCCTATCTGAACCACAACCCCTGCACTCCACGTTGCCGGCCCGAAGCTGTCCACCAGAAGCCGTACATCGTAGCTGCCGTAGCTCCACATTCCACGTTGGGGACGTACCTTGACTCTTTTCAGTCTTGGCGCCCTCCTTGCGAAGCCTCTCCGATGCTTCTTGAGAGGCCGTTGGGCTCATGACCACCACGGCCTCGAAGTCCTGCTTCATCTGCTCCCAAGCTGATGTTGGCAAATCTTAAGGCCGCCTTCGCGCCCTAACAACCAGAAGTCCTAAAGTCTTAAAAACCCAAAAGTTCCCAAAGCTGGGACGCCCCCAGAGCCCTAAAAGGGCCCTCAAGCCCTGCAATCCTGGAGCCCTGAACCCCGAGGGCCAGAAACTCCGCAAGCCCGAAGCCCGAAGCCAAGCCCATCACGCATAGCCTATCGTTGTTCTAGGGTTTCTTGTGCCGTCCTGCAGAGCTTCAAAGGGTGTATAGGATTCAGTGGGGGCCTTGAAAGTTTGGGTGTATGCTACTACTGCAGATCGTAATGGGAAACTCTCCCTGCCCTAAGACCTCTGTATTTGCTGGTTTGCTGTCTTCCTCCTGTTGTCCTTACTGCGGTAGCATCTGGGAGGCGGAGGCAGCGTAGGTAGTAATTCGTTTCCTGAAGCCGATAAGTTGAAAACTACAAGCAAGATCTGTCAGATCATCCTTGGATTATCAAGGAGAGGCGAGGAAGAAACTGGCCATGCAGGCTACTTCTTAAGCTCCTGCCATTTGGGTGGCCATACCGGGCCATACCGTAGCCTCTCATCGGTACTGCATATCGGTGGACGGAACCCTGAACTAGCTGACTTTGGCGGCCCAAGGCACGCTAAACGTGGTCTTCGTGTCGCTGATTGTGGGCGCTGCTTGTTTGCAGCCGGTGGGGCTTGCTCTGGCCTGGCATCACGAAGTCCACAACACTGCCCTGGTTGATCAGCTTCGGTGTTAAGGGGGTTTGCTTTCTCGGTGCTGTTGGAATTGGGGAAGCCTCGTCTCGGGCACTGAGATCACCAAGAAGAAGTTCGATCCGCAGACGGTGATGGCGGCTGCGCTTGCCGTCACCGGCGCCGCCTGGCAGACTTCGGCAACTTCCCCAGACCCCCGAGGTTGAGACTTTCCTGGGGCTTGTTAGGGTTTATAGGGGATTCTTCGCCGCTTGCTAGGGTCTGTAAGAAAAAGAGTTTTATGATTTCAGGGTAGCGCCCAAACCTGAAGCCATTCATTTCTGAACCAGGAAACTCCCGAGACTTCCAGCCTAGCACCACCGAGCCTTATAATCTACAGCCCTTGATTAGCAACACCCCCTCCCTGAATCAGGGTTATAGATGGTTGGACCCAACAAAATTTTGCGGGTTTGTTCATGGCGGGTCTGGAAGCCCTCAGCTCCACTAGATCCCAAACGACACAAGGGGCAAAAAGGCCCAAGCTGGAAGAAGTAGAAATCACAAGCCCACCCTAAACCCCAAAACCCGAAACCCCATAAACTCAAAAACCCAAAGTCCTAAACCCTAAACCCGAGGAGCCTTAACCCCCTGAGCCCCTCTTGATGGGTAACGCTTGCAAATCCCCTAACCCGCCCCCCCCAAAGAAAGCGTTTCACAAAACGTCGTAAACCCGCACGGAGCAAGTCCGCGGAGCTCAGGTCGGGTTTTTAGAGTTGGCGGGGTCGCAGCAGTTCGTCATCGGCACGGCAGCCCAGTGACGTACTGTGGGGTCCCAGGTAGCCGAAATTCAGAGCTCTGGGTTTGGGGTTCCAAAATGTTCCAAAGTCCGGGGCCTGGTCTTACTTGGGTCAAAGGTTCAGCGTTTTGAGGGTTTCGGGTTTTCAGGGGGTGACGGCAGCTTAAGACTCTTCAGGCTTTATAGCACCCCAAAACGCTCTGTGTCCTGGAAATCGCTAAGAAAGCCCAATGCTTTCCTACAGCTACTAAAGTCAAAAGCCTCTAAGACCTGATGTTGCATTGGCTTGCCAGGTGTTTTTTGGGGATGCCTAAGAGGATTCTCGCCACGGGGATCTGGCAGAGCGTCAAAGCGTAGACCACGAAGACTAAACCTATGAGCCCTATACGCATTAGCCCTAAAACGCCTGCAGCCTTGACCCTAAAGCCTTAAAGCCTCAGCCCTAAATCTACAAAGAGTCCCCAAGTTGGCCGCTGAGATCGAAGGCCTGGAAGCCCCAAGCGGCCCCAAACCCTCAAATGTCTAAACGGCCAGCCTCAAACTGGAAACTCTAAGCCAGTTCAAAATCCCCCAAGAACTGCAAGTCCAAAAAAACTTCAAACCCAAGAACCGCCCGTGTAAACCGATCCCTGCTCGTAGGCGATCTGATCTCCCTCGCCATGCCCGTCGGATTCGGCATGGGCCCGGGTCCCAACTTTATAGGGTTCGGTTGAGGGGTTTGGATGGACGGATACATTTTCTTCCTTTCGAGACTTCTTTGCGTGGGTTTCGGGCTTTTGGCAGAAATAAGAGGCCACGATGTCAGGGCTGCCGGGAGCTTTGGTTTTGAGCGATTGGGTCGGGGCTGGCAGAGGCGACCCGCATGAACCCTCTGGCTTCAAGCCTTAACCCTGTGTTAGCAGCTTTTCGGGTTAGGCTATAGGCTTTCAAGCGGCTACCCAGCTTCAAGCAATCTCGACCTAAATCTCTTCTCTTAAGGCGAACCCGTAGTAGGGTCTTGCTTCATTAGCTTTGGGTTCTCTTCGAAAACTGGACGAGGGTAGGCCTGGGAGTGCGGGGAGGGGTTGGGGGACCTGGATGAGGGGTCGTCCGAATCACCAAACCTATAATTTAGTAGGGTATCATGCATTCAGGCTTTAGTTTTTGTTTTTGTACTTTGGGTTTTGCAAGGCAGTGTCGAGTGTGGGCCTTATCCTGCACATTCACTCGTGCCTTTGCGCTGGAGTCTTCGAGCCTTCGGTGCTTTGGCTGTTTGCCCTTGCAGTCCTGTTATATGCTTATTCTTATGCCACAGTGCGATCTGAAGCCCCATAGTTCGGAGGGTTACAGAATCCCCGAGGCTTCATGACACTAGGGTTTATACGGTCGCCGGTCCGTTGTTTAAGACTTCGGGCTGAGAGGGTATAATGGATGGAAGATACATTTGGAGACCTGGTGTCTTGCTCCCAAAGCACGCAAGGCCAATGCGTTCAGTGCAGGCCTCTACAGGCACCCAGCGGACCTAACCAACTTAAATGGTTCTGTCATGCGCCCTGCATGCTAAGCATCGATCGGGACTTCGGAGCTTTTGCAAACGCCGCCCTCAATCCCAAACCCATCAGACCCCAACCCCGAAACTCCAAGCCCCAAGCCCCAAACTTCCCCGAAACGCCTCGCGAAGCTCAGGATACATTCGGCTGGAGGAGATCATGGCTGAGAACCCCAAGGATGCCCTGCCTGTGACTGCTGCCTGGCTTCAGAGACGGGTCTACCGCAGGGTCGCTTGGGGAATTGGTATGAGGGTTGAAAGTTTAAGCGTTAAGGCGTAGTGGCTTTGGGGCGGGCCTGGGGGGTTAGGGTTCAGGCTGTCAGGGTTGGAGCGATGGTGAAACTAGCATACAGGGTTACACCATAGCTTTGACCCGGCAAGAAGGTTCCATCACCTGGTGAAGGAGAGCGCAAGCAACTTCGGAAGCCAAATCTACATGCCTAGGCCGCTGTGTCAGAGCTTCGTCGCCCTGAACCCCTCGATCCTCCCAAAACCTCGGGGGCCCGGCGGTCCTCTCTTGGAATAGATTGGGCAGTCAGGACGACTCAAAGGTCGAAGTTCGGCATTTCAGGTCAAACTCTCAACCCCTAAACCCCGCAAACCCCCAAGCCGAGCCCCTAAAGCCCTAAACCCCTAAGCCCCCCCCCGAAACCCTAAGCCGAGCCCCTGGAGGCCGTGAAGTTGGGAGTCGTGGCAGTGGCCTCCTGGGCATACTACGCACCACGGCTTCAGCTTTAGGCTTGGCAGAAAACTTTGCCGCTCCTAGGAGTTCTGATTTTATTTTGCTTATAATATAACTGATGGGGATTCATAGGACTGTGATTCTTATTCTTTGGGGGGGGGGGGGGGTTCGAAGGGCGCCTCAGAACAGAGGGTTTGGGATAAGGGTCTTCTGAAGGGTCTGTTCCAGACGAGGGATAGCAAGAGCAGTGGCCATCACACTTATGGTCCCTTATGGTGGCAATCATGCTGACGAATATTGGGCAAGACGAATAACACTGCAAATGACGGCCTTTAACTTGGAACATAGTTAACCTTACAAATAGCCCCTACCCGCAAACCTGAAGCCCAAAAAGGACAGTGCACTGTAAGAACAACACCACATGTAATGACTAGCAGCAGTAGCAAAGCTGAGAGTAGCACCAGTGGCAATATTTCTGCTGTTGCTGCTTCTAGCCGCAAGAGATTACGCCTGCTGCTGCTGCTGCTGCT